TTTGTGTTTGCGGGGGTGGCGTTCGCGGGGGCGGCGTCGTGAGTTTTTTTCTTTGTTTTTTTTTTTGTGCTATGGCTGTCTGGATGGTAGACTGACTCGTTTGACCGCAGGGTGGGTGCGCTCCTGCCATGCTATGAAATGTTCCGCCTCAGTCGCCATGCGTATACCGAGGAGGAGGTTCGGGAGGCAGCCGATAGCATATCGAAGCGGAGCTGGGGCAGTATTATCAATGGCTGGTGAAATTCCTAAATGTAGAGACATGGAAGCGACCATGAACTTATCCCTAATCAATAATTATACCTATTTTGAAGCGGCAAGTGGGGATACATGTATATACCTGCACATTCCCTCGCCGTGGCTTATTTCTGAGTCCCGCAGTGGTCATTGCCGCAACGGATATGTGAGCTCAGGTGCAACAAAGAATCGTGGTCATATGGAAAAGCAACGACTATTATTAATACGATTCGGACTACATGTGTTCATCGAGTTGCATCCTCTCTCGGCTACCTAGTAGGACCGGGGGTGTGGAATAATACACAATTAAGACAAAAGTGAAGTAGCACAGGGTATACCTCTATCCCGAAACAAGACAAAAGAAAACACCACCCAAACCGCCTTGAGACTTTGCCGTCCCTTCCCCTAGCCTCGCAGCCCTCTTAACATCCGCGGCTTACAACGGAGGAGATCACTGAGTCGAAAGGTCCGATTCCAGTTTAGTATCTAGATACAGTAATTAAGTCAGAACCTCATCAAAAAAGCCAAGCCCGGACTTTGAAAAGGCCAGGGCCCAACTTACCCTCCACGAAGCGGTAGCGGACCCCGCCATGTTCTCCTCCACCTCCGACACCGTGATCGGCGAGACTCTTCAGAAACCGTTGGACTCCGGACAACGTCATGTCGACGAGGACCTCAACCCTGCGACGGCTCTGCGCCCATAGCGAAACCGGTAAATCGTCACCAAACAAGATCTTCGCAGGATTGGTTTCGATTCGGATCTTAGCAGCCTGTGTCTCGAAGCGGGCCGAGAGAAGCTTGTTTTCCACCAGTGATATGCACTCGTCAATGTAGGTTGGCATGGTGTCGACGGGGTTGGGTGGAGGGGCCAAGGGTAGTATGAAGATGGCGGTCGGTGAGAAGCGCGGCTTCAAGGTTGGATACTGGTGTTTTGGTGGGTTGTGTGCTGCTGGAGCGTCTGTGTGAACCGTAGTGAATGGGGTAAAGAAGAGTTGATGGGGCTGTCGGCAATACGAACGTGACGAGTAGGGGAGAGTGTTTGTCTGTTGTATCAACTGTTTGCCACCTGGGCCCTGACTCAAACACCACCCACCAAAATCCCACACTAAAATGGGCAGTCCACAAGGCAGCAAACTAACTTCCTAGACTTTAAATCAGCTGACACCTGTCTCGGCAAGCGAGCCATAGTTTGCTCAAGCATACCTGTAAAAGAGAGGAACGGCCGACCTCGGCCCAGACGGCCAACGTTGGCCGGCCATTGTTAGACAAAAGGAAGCAGCTTTCGAGTCGGCCGAGATTGAGGGGTCGGCAGTTTTCTCGTTTGCAGAAGCTGGTTGTTTGGAGAAGCCTAGGCTGAAGAAAGATTTTAGGTTGAAAGTGTACCTAGGTAAAGTATGGTACATGTAGCTCGAAGGAAACCTATTTGGCGTTGCCAGACGTGATTATGTGTGGAATCGGAGGGAACTTATCCCAAGCATACAAAGTAATTAGGTGTTTTACAGAAGAAACCCGTAAAAATTACTATCTTTGGTGAAGCCAACAACCGTAAAACAACCCCTAGTTACGCGGCCCATTCAAGATCCACGACAGGTTGAACCGGCGCCAGGTGATGGACCGGTACGATTTCTCACCTCCCTTGTCGTTATAAAAATCGTTCTCAACCAACGCCCCAATCTTGAAGTCGGCCGTCTTGGTCATGCTCGAATATCCGCCCTCGTTACCCGCCCCAGACACCGGGGCATTGGCCAGCTCCCGCCCAAAGTTGTACTTGGCTGCGTTCGAGTCGTAGCTGATGCGCACGCGCATGGCGCGGCGGCTGGTCTTGCTGGCCGAGTTCATGAAGATGGTCCGGGCGGGACCCTTGGAGTCGGCCCGGTTGTACAGGAGCACCGAGCCCTGGCACCCGGGATCGGGCAAGCCGCCGTCTTGGGCAAACGAGCCGAAGCTGGTGAGCGTGCCGCGCGCCACTTTACGGTAACCGCCGCTGAACCGATCATTGCGGTAGAGCTTGCCGTCGGGAGTCTGCGCGATGGTGCCCTCGGACCCGGCGCCCGGCAGAACCTGCATTGTCCAGGTGCGGTTGCCCGAGGGCCCGCGGCCGATGAGGTTGCGGCCCTGGGCGGGGACGACGAGCTCGCCTGTGGTGAGCTTGATACCGTTGCCGGGGCCGACGGCGTCCCAGGCGCGGTTGGCCGGGGTCAGCTTGTTGGTGACATCCACGGGCTTGGACCAGGTGGCGCCGTCGTCGGTGCTCTGGCTGAGATACAGATGGCGACGTCCCTCCCAGGTGCTGTCGATACTCTTGGTTTTGGTCCCGTCGGGAAGCGTCATGCCGCCGACCTGGCTGTACTTGGCGCCGTTCCACGACATGAAGAGGTAGATGGTCTTGCCGTCGACCACCGGGGTGGGGTTACCCCATGTGCCGGCACCGTCGCCAATCACTTCTTTCAAGGACTCCCAGTCGCCGGGGGCGGCTCCGTGGTTGGAAGTTGTCTTGGTGCGCTTGTAGACGAGGTTGATGTCGCCGTAATCGCGGTTGTTGTGGCGGCGGCCTTCGGCAAAAGCAAGGATCCGGCCGGTGCTTGTGGTGACGACGGCCGGGATGCGGAACGAGTGGAAGCCAATGCCGCTCGAAAGCTTGTCCGGGGAGGCCATGTTGGCGCTGCGGAACAAGACGAACTCTTTGTGGTAAGGAGTTGCGTCCTTGGCCGGGTCCGGGACATTGGCTTGCGAAAGCGGAGTGAGCAGCGCCCAGAGGGCGATACCTTGGAGCCAACGCATGACTTGTAGTCGAGAGGGTTTCCGTGAAGTCGCAAAGGGTTGATGAGGCTCGGCTGGGGAGCGAAGGATGGATGATCTCGTTCCAACGTCAGGAACGCCTTGCTTCAACCTACATTCCACGACTTCCAGAACCGCGAACACCCCCGAGGTTTTATGGGATTCATCGTCCACGATCTTCAACGAAAGGAACCGCGGCTCAGTTCCGCCGTCTGACAAGAATCTAGGCCATCGGAGACGCCGGAGACAACGGGAATATTTACAGATGTCGTACTCATCGCGATGGCATCGTGAAAAAGGCAAGTCGTTGAGATGCACGGTCATGCACCCCAGATGACGATAAAATTACTTTGAAACAAACCACTAACAATCAGAGAAATACCCACGTGTATTCCATTGTTCCTCGGATACATCGGTTTATTGTTGTTGATGCACGACCCGGGCTTACAAGCTGACCCGATCGAAGGTTGTATCAATGTGCTGGGACCTGGGAGCTGAGAATTGGGTGGGAGCTGGAAACCGAGGGTTCAGAGGGGTGGTGCTGCTATTTTTGAAGCCCTGGTCCCCTTCCATATTTGACACATTATCACGTGTTTTCGTGTGCTAAACGCCCCACACCACGCATCCTCTGCGTTGTCGCGCTACCGCGTTGGCAGTCCCGCCCGTTGTTGACACTTGACAGTCATTTCGACACGAAATCAACAATCGTACCAGCTTCTCCCAATTTCACAGCGCCCACGCGCGCCACACGTTGCCGTGGTTGCTGGCCACCATGGCAACGTCAACACCAAACCACCCCATTCTCAATGGTCTCAATGACGCCCAGTGTAGGGCCGTGACCTCAGATGCCGCCACTGTTGCTATCCTGGCCGGACCCGGCAGCGGCAAGACCCATACACTCACAGCCCGGGTCGTCTGGCTGGTCGACCACATGGGAATCCGACCCGAGGATGTGATTGTGGCCACCTTCACCGTCAAGGCCGCCCGCGAAATGAAGGAACGCATTGGGAAAGCTCTCGGTAATGGGCGGGAGAACAAAATCATCCTCGGGACATTCCACAGCATTTCACGCCGCTATCTCGCCGCATACGGACGACACATCGGCCTCAATCAGAAGTTTGGCATTGCCGATAGCGCCGATTCCAGCGCCATTATTAAACGAGTTTGCAAGAGGTTGCAGCTCGGCACCGACCCGGCGGTCGCACGCTCATGGATTAGCAAGGAGAAAGTCAAGGGTTCCGAGGCTACTTCCAAGTCGGCTCGCCAGGAGTCCAATAAGCCAACTGGGCTTCGGGAGCTTGAGACCTGTTTCGACGAGTACCAAAAGCACCTAGAGACGTCAAACCTCTTGGACTACGACGACTTGTTGGTTAACTGTGTCCGTCTTCTCCGGAAATTCCCGTCTTGCGTTTCCAACATACAGACAGTCCTGATCGACGAGTATCAAGACACAAACGGAATCCAGTATGACTTGATGAAACTCTTTGCTCAGCACCGTCAGAGAATAACCACTGTGGGCGACCCGGATCAAAGCATCTACGGATGGCGCTCGGCCGAGATCAAAAACCTCTGGAAAATGCTCCGAGAGTTCCCCAAGACCGACGAGGTATCTCTTGAGGAGAATTACAGGTCGTCCCAGTCTATCCTTGACTTGTCACTCGAAGTGATACAACAGGATCAGGCCCGGTACCAGAAAGTCCTGAAGCCCACCCACAACAAAGGCCCCCGCCCAGTCCTTCGAAGGTTGAAGAGTGCATCCGCCGAAGCGGATTGGATTGTCTCGGAAGTCAGGAGAGTGCTCGTCATGTCAGGCTCAATGCTGCGCCACAACGATGTAGCAATTCTCGTACGCTCGGCGGCTCTGTCGCGGCACATTGAGGCCTCTCTTGGAAAAGCCGGGGTTCCTTACAGGATGGTTGGCGGCCTAAAGTTCTACGAGCGCGCAGAAATCAAGGTTATCATCGAATACCTGCGCGCCATTCATCAGCCTGAGAATAACGATGCACTCGCAAGGATCCTGAACGTTCCCCAGAGAGGAATTGGCCCGGATACCATCAAAGCGCTGCTCGAGGAGGCCGAAACGTCATCTCTCAGCGTCTGGGATGTCCTGTCGAAACATTGCCGAGGGGACCGCAGGGCGAAAACAAAAATCACAAAGCAAGCCGAGCAGCGAGTTAGCGGCGGGCTGCTGCGTTTGCTGCAGGATATCAGGAAGCGGATTGCAGATGCATCCGAATCGGCGCCTTTTGGGTTGGTTGAAATGATTCAACACCTCCTGACGAAACTAAACTTCGAAAAATACCTCCAGGGGTCCTATCCCGACCCCGATGACCACGCCCAGAGATGGGCCAACGTGCAGGAATTCCTGAGTCTCGCCGGCGAGTTCGCCCACGAATTGGAGCTCTCTGACGAAGAGTCTCTACCAGAAATTGAAGGTCTCGCACAGACGAAGGAAGATGGGGTTCTCCCACGTTTTCTAGCCAACGTGTCGCTCGCGTCGGAAACCCAGACGGGAGCCGACGGCCAAGAGAGCAACCCACCCGTAACTATCTCGACGATACACGCAGCGAAAGGCCTCGAGTGGCCCATTGTTTTTATACCCGCAGTCTACGATGGGTCCATTCCTCACATGCGATCTGACGACGGCGATGAAGAGCGAAGGTTGTTGTATGTGGCCATGACGAGGGCCCAGAGTTTGCTCTATCTCAGCTGCCCGCTTTTCGCCTCGAATGGCCATGGAGAACGTCACGAATTGTCGCCTTTTGTTGACCCCGTAAAAGCATCATTCATGCCGAAGGGGCCCTGTCTTGACCGGCCTGTCATGACTGAGATTGCCAGGATCCTTCGCCGCGAGCTGCCACCAGAGGAGACCATTTACCAAGACCTTCCCGCCATGTTTAGCCCCGAGGACAACCTTTTCCCCGTCGACCCAGAAGAGGTTGTGCAAGACACCAAGCATGGGCTCGGGGTTTATGGGGGAGACGCATCAAGAGCGAAAAGGCCGAGGCTCCATGCCCCATGCGGGGGACAGGCCGAGGACGAGGAAGTTGCTTGGAAAAGGGAGTACACCACTATGGAACAGTCGTCGACATTCACCTCCGCCCCACTACCTGGTTTTGTCAGCGTCGGAGCCAACCAGGCCGCCATCACTGCTGCGAACGGGGCAGCTAAGGTTCCCCAGAAGGCCGAGAAGGCCAAGCCATCAACCTACAAACGAGCCGCGAACCAGAAAAGCATCATGGAGTTTGTAAAGACCAGCTCTGCTTCTGTTCTTCAACCTGCTGGACCATCGTCGGAGGTAAAACCCAGCACGATGCTTCCCGCATGGAGTGCGTCCGGAGCTAGATCTCGGGTCGCACCGGCACAACCAATCGACCCGGTTCTCGCCGGCCACAGGTTAGGCGCAGGGAGGAGGATGACCCGCCCCTCTGTCCCGAGCGAAGAAAAGGCAGCCAAGTCGAAGCGGTACGCCTGCTTCTCAAGCTCACCGCCCCGGCCGTCTACCGCAGAGGATACGACTCCCGGTGGAACTAGCGCTGCAAAGCCGGACAACGAGAATGAATCTCCGGCGGGACCCGGTGGCTTTCCGAGAGGACTCGGCGGACAGATTCGGCGACCCCCCGGCCTGAGCAGAATCACGCCGTTGCAAAGGTTGCAAAAACCGTTTAAGCCGTTGACTATGAACAGGCGCTAAAGGTGGGATGAGTTATGAATGATGCCTGAGGAATTGAGTTCCTCCCAATTTAATGAGAGTTGTGGAGGGTTTTGGACCAAACGTGAATGTAAATTAGTCCTTCGGCGTGAAGTGCAATCCTGCTGACAGGCCCGGGTCCGGTTTCTCCCGGAAGGATGTGTCACAAAGTACTAAGTGACTCAAGATTGCCTATTTGGGTAATTCTCTTGCTGAAATTCAAGCCTCGGAGAACAGGTTATAAGCGCAAGTGGCTTCCTCAACCCACAAACCCATCCCATAACATTCGACCTTTGTATCCCACTACCCTAACGGCCAACCAAACTGGATGCAATAAGCGTCCAAAAAACAACACCATCAAAAACCAACCCAACCCAACCCAACCCACCAAAACCAACACCCACCACCATGTCCACCGCCTTCCGCCCCCCAACAATCAACCGCCTCCAACGCCTCCTCACCATCCCCATCCTCCCATCCCGCCGCCTCCTCCTCCCCCGCCAAACAACCACCACCTCCCCCTTCTCCACCTCCCGCGCTGTGCACAACAAACCCAACACCACCACCACCAACACAAAAAGCAGCAGCAATACCAACGCCAATAATGTAGACACCACCGCCAGCGGCAACCCATCTTACCCGACATTCAACCTGCGCAGCATCGTGCCCAACCCGCGCGTGCGCAGGGCGCTGATGGCGGTGTTGGGGGTTATGGTGGTGGCGGAGTCGTGGATGTGGATTACGTATTGGCCAAGGATTGTGGGGTGGTGGAAGGGGGAGGAGGGTGGTGCTAAGGAATAGGGGGAGGAGGATGAGGAGGGGAGGAAACTGGAAAAGGGGTGGGAAGGGTGCTTGACTTGACTTGGTCGAGGTTACTAGGAGTTCGCGAGGGCCGGAGGGGTTCGCTCAGGGGCGGCGATAGAGTGAGTGGGAGTGGGACTGCAATTCTTGTATAATATCTTGTATAATTGCTGGGTTTCGGAAGGGAGGAGTTTGGGGTCGGCGTTGCAACGGACATCTGTATTATAGGTGGTCGGCGAGGGGGGATGGTAGAAGGGGTGCACCACTCTTCTACGACGGACAACGCCGCTCTCCGAAGATGGACAGTTGCCAGGGATATAAAGGTATAAGGGAACTGGATGGTACTCATCTCTTGCCCAAGGTTCTTACTCTTCTCGCTTGTTCAGGCTGTGACAACTCGAGTTGTTTCTGCCCCCTCCATGGTAGGACTTGATGGTTTACCAACCTCGTATAACTCCAAAAATGAGGGAGGATCACAGGGCTCAGCATTAAGTACTAATTAGAATATAAAGGATTACCTTTGAACAAACTCCAACATCGTCAAGCACAGGGCAGACCAACACCAGCTTAACATGACACTCACGAAACGTAAAAACATCCCTCCATTCTCCCGTGTGTACCCCCCTCGCCAATGCAATCCGACCCGAGCCACCCCGCCCCGTCCCGACCGTCTACAACCTTAGCTCCTTGACAATCTGCTCCGCCATCGCCTTGTACTGCCACGTGTTCCCGCCCACCCTCTTGAACTGCACGCCATGCAAACTGACAATTGGGACCTTGACGATGACAATCTCGAACCGGATCTCACCATCGGCGACGCGCGAATCGCCATGGCTACCATGGTGATCATGCGAGTGCGAGTGGTCGGCGATGCTGGGCGCGAGCTAGCAGTTGAAGCCGCCCTTGATCTCGGTGTAGTCGAAGCGCAGCATCTTGAGAACCCGCTTGATGTCGGCGCGGATCTCGGGCAGGGGCTTGGTGGAGGTGGTCGACACGCTAAAGATGCCCTTGAGGTACACGGGCTTGGCGAGGTCCGGGTCCTCGGGCTCGAGGCGCTCGTGCGAGCCGCCGCTGGTTTCGCCACCCTCAGCCTCCTGCCCCAACTCGGCGTCCGTCTCCTCCCTGACCGGCGGTTCCTGGTGGGCCGACGAGGAATTTTGTTGCTGATCCCGCGCTTCGGCCTCCCGCTTGGCGCGCCGGGCTTGGATGCTATCCCGGCGGGCGTGGCCGAGGGATTTGGCACGCATCGAAACTGACTTTTGCATGGATTTACCCTCTGAAGGCTCCTTCCTTCTGTCACGCGTGCTGAGTCTCCGGAGTAACGAGACCGGGCCGTTGCCGCCCTTCTTTTGTGGCACCATGTCGGGCGAGAGCAGGCCATTCTTGACCGGCTCCCTAACCTGGTCTTCGCTGTGTGACCTCGCCCTCTGCCGCGACCGGGCACCCTCGGTATGTGCCGGTTGAGGAGGCACAATCTCAGCGAGGGAATGCTTCTCCTTTGGCCGCGCAATTGGTGATGGTGGGACGGCCAGCATTTGGGATTGTTGCGGGGACGGTGGAACCTGCACCTTGGGCGGCATCGTCGGTTGCGCGGCCAGCGCCTCTTGCCGCTCACGTTCAAACTTCTCCTGGACGAGGTAGTAGATCGAGATCATCGGGTCGAACGCATTGAGCGGGTCGTCGCCCATGGGTAGGCCTTCTGCGCTACCGTTGGTGAGGGTCTCCTTACTGGTTACTGAGTTGCGCCTCTTGTAAAAGTCGAAAGCAAAAGCACGTCGCTTCTCTACATCCTTTGGGGTTGGTTGTGGCAGTTCCCTCTCCTTCTCTAGGCGCCGGACCGCCGCCTGGTACTTTGGCGACAAAATCTTCTTGGTGAGCTCGTCGCGGATGTAGTCCGGCGGGCCAAACTTGAATCCTGTCATGTGTGCGATCACCTCCTCGTTAAGCGGCAGCTGCAGGGGCTCGCGATGAGCAAGATGGTTCTCGGGAGGCCCATTGTACCCTTTGAGCATCCAGGGGTGGTTCATGACTTCATGCATCGTAGCGCGCTGCTTCGGGTCCGTGACGAGCATCCGGGAAATTAGATGCTTGCACTCTAGAGGATGGTTAGCGAACATCACGAAGGTGGCATTCAAGGGGCGGCACGTACCACTCGATAGCCAGTTGGGGTAGTCGACTGCGCCTTTCTTGATCTTCTGGTGGAGGGCGGGCATGTACTGGTCGTCGAACGGCACCTTACCGCATACGAGAACAAACAGAACTACCCCAAAACTCCACACGTCGACCTCGGGGCCCGTGTATGGCCTTGCCTGCAGGAGCTCCGGCGCGGCGAAGTAAAGACTCCCACAGTACGTCTTGAGTTTCCTGTTCTCGTCTGGCGAAAAGAGGTTGCTAAGGCCGAAGTCGATGATCTTGATGTCGCCCGTCTTGCTGATCAAGATATTCTCAATCTTGAGATCCCGATGGACGATGCTGTTTCGGTGGCAGTAGTCGACCGCGCTCGCTATCTGGCGCGCAAACTTCCTGGCTTGTTTCTCCTTGAGCTTCCCGTGGGAAATGATGTAGTCGAGCATCTGGCCGCCATTGACGTATTCGAAGAGCATATACCAGTGCCACCTTGTCCGCAAGTTATCCCGCAGCGCGCAGATGTACTGGTGATTGAGCAAGCTGACGATGGCAGCCTCGCGGGCGTTGCGATCCTCCCTGGCGGCGTCGGCGCGCTCGCGGTCTTCTTTGCTCTGCCGTCCATCGTCTACTGATACTCTCTCGATGATCTTGCATGCGACCTGCACGTTGGGGGTTAGATAAACCACTTGAACAAGTTATGCGACGAGACTTGCCAGTTCATTTGAGCCCTCTTTCTTAGCCAGCTTCACCTTGCCCATGCTTCCCTGGCCAATCGTCTTTATAAAGGCATAGTTACCTGACGGGGCGGGAATGACGGTACGGTATCTGTGCTTCGAAGTGCGCTGGGCTTGCTGGTCGGAGGCCCTGTCGTTGGGCTCCTCGGTACCAGGGCTGTAGGCCGGGGGAGGGGGCATTTCCTGACGAGGGCTCCGAGGCGACTCTGCTGCAGTCGACCGCTTACTGCTGCGGCGGTAAGGGCTCGAGTGTTGCTGCTGGGAATTCTCAGCTCTTGTCGAGGACTCGGCTCTTGTGGATGACTCGGATCGGGGAAGGGGGTCGGGTCGTGAAGCAGTCGGTGGTCGGCGTGTCCGAACAGATTGCGACCGTATGGGCATTTCAGCCCCGGCAGACGCCGTCGCCATCTCGGGCGAGGTAATCGAAGGGAACACGGGACCCAGGCGGCAGTCGGCGGAGGTTTGCTGTGGCAGACCGACCTTGAATAATGGTGGCGCAGAAAATCAACCGAGTTCAAAATCACACCATTCAACTCCGTCTAAGAGAAATCTCGCTATATATGTCACCCGGAGCAAGGGCTGGAACAAATGCACGCTCGCGACAAAATCGAATGGGCTATGGTCGGTCAGCGATGGTGGGCGAGTCGATGGCGAGGGCTTAAAGCAGTCGGTCGTGGGCGGAGTGGAGCGGCGGAGCGGAGCAGCGAAGCGCAGGGCTGTCGCGCTCAGAGGATTGGGGATTGATTGTTTTTGCCAGAACTTGGCGGGGTGCTCCTTGGTGCGATGTGGTTCTTGAATTCGCGGTGTACAGTTGGCGTGTCGCTCTGAGGTTGGGCAGTCCAGGCGGCTTTTCAGCAACAAGTTGAGGGGGGACTGGACTGGCTCGAGACAGAGTGTTTGGCTGGACCACTACCCGTCAGGGGGGGTTGACAGTGGAGTCCAAGCTGCTGATATCCACGCCGCTTGGATTACAGGTAATTTCGACGACGGCTGTCAGGCAACGCGGTTTCCTCTCCTTTCTTGCGTGCATGTGCATCTCTGGAAATGCACAGAGAGATGCACATCCATTCTAATGAGGAAGTGCAAATGAGTTGCCCCGGGTATATTATTTTAGCGGTTTCCATCACAACTTGCCTTTACGTTATCTCTTTAATGAACACGCTACCCATACCTCCTTTATTGTCGGAGACCTGTCAACGATCGGGGTAACGTATGTACAATACACATCTTCGTACCCGGCAGGTCGAGATGGCCGGGTCCAGCACCAGGCCCAGCTCCGGCAGAACGGGTCTCGACCTCGAACAACCCGAGTCTTGCAGTGCTCGCTGAACTGCATGATCCTCTTACTCCTTTCGTCTCCGAGTATTCTCAACCGCGTCGGCCAAGTGATCGATAAGCTTCGGTCCGCACGGCCTCTGTTGCACCGAATACCTCACAACTCGCATCCGCCCAACTACTCGAGGAGATTAGATGACCTCGTCTCTGCAGCCCCAACATCGGTGGCTGCTTGATCACTGCTTGATTGGCCGCCCTTGGGTGGAGAAAGCGTGCGTGTGTTGCACCAGCAATGGCCCCGACCAGCAAGCGGCCGCGCAAGAGGCCAGCCCAACGTCGACTGCTCTGGGAGCAAACAGCCCACGTAACCGACAGTGGTTGCACCTCTGGCGAGCATTGTCATCCAGCTGTTGCAAGATAGATCGGCCCGAGCCCAGCAGCCGGAAGTTTGCAGTAATTAAGGGGGAGTATGTATTAAAGAACGATGAAGACCACGCCCAACCTCCGTCGTAAAAATTAACCGCAGGTAAATATTGTAGGGGTTCTGATAAAACGCGGGCAACAAGTCTCGGTCTCAAGATGATCACCCTCCAAACCTGGTGTGTGAGTTGGGACAACTCTCGATACCGTAAGATAGGAAAAGGCAACACTCAACCCGGCTGAAGACTAAAATCCGGGCTCGAGCCAGATGAGGTGATAAGACAGAAAAAAAGGTCCCAACAGTTTGGCTGAATGATATCATGACGCTGATCAGTTGGGCCCTGTCGTCGCATCTCTCGAGTTTAACCGGACTGACGTCGAACTTCTGCCCTGGAAGACGGCTCGATAAGGGCGATGGCTGGAATCTCCTCGTCCCGACTGCCCCGGATGGTGGGGGAAGAAAATTGGTAACGCCGCAAAGCACCCAGGTATGTACGAAGTACCTCCCTACCTTATGAAACGAGCGTGCAAGATAGATAAGGGCCTACTTATATTTGAATACTCGCCCCTTCCCCTGGAGAAGCTTTACAATCGCGTAAACCAAGATACTCAATACCGCACGAATGGAGGCCATCAGAATCCGTCTAACGTTGAATTTCACGGATGTGCGTGCAGCTCAGCGTGACAGCTTCCACGTCTCTTGCCCGGAAGAACGAAGGATGCCCCACTGACATTCCCCGCATCGCTGGCAGAACTTCCCCACACCCTGTCTTCTTGGGCCTTTTACCGCCTTCCCTTTCAGATCTTCAGCGCGATCTCGAGCTGGAGCTGTGCCAATGGCTCGCTAAATTCGAGGTCGCATTCAACGGTCGAGCAGCTTCATCACGAAACCGAACACTCCCACGACGGCATACCGAGGAATTCTTCCACAACATACCCCCTACTCTCGGCCTACATCTCAGCTTTCCCATGTCCTACAAGAGATCGCGTGCAACTTACGAGGCCGACCTATCCGCGCAACAATCCCCGTATGTCGCTTTCGGGACGCCACTTCCACCACAAGACCCCGAGGTTCGCGATGACGGTTCTTATGTGCCGATATGGAAGCAGGAGGTGAGGGACGAGCGGGGGAGGAAGAGGCTTCACGGCGCATTTACAGGAGGGTTCAGCGCAGGGCAAGTACGCTCACATCTCGCACTTGTAATGAGCCAACTAACGTTTCCCTAGTTATTTCAATACCGTCGGCTCCAAGGAAGGATGGACACCGTCTACCTTTGTATCTTCACGGACCAACCGTCGGAAGGACGATCCAAAAACGTCCAGACAACGCGCCGAGGATTTCATGGACGAGGAAGACCTAGCCGATGCCGAAGAATCAAGGAAAATACAGACCCAAGCTGCTTTTTCTAGCTTGGGTACGACCTCTGATGATGCCACAAGGATTAGCAGCCTCATGGGCATATTCCGCGCCGACGGGGACACAATGGGCACCAGATTACTCAAGAAGATGGGGTGGAAGGAGGGACAGGGAATCGGCCCCAAGGTTCGTAGGAAAGCCCGACTCGAGCTCCGCAACGATACGGATGATCCAAGGGGAACGCATCTATTCGCACCGGAGAACGTTGCCATGATTCATTTCGTCCGCAAAACCGACCACAAGGGACTAGGATATGCAGGAGAAACAAGACTGGCACCGATCAGCCTCGCTACGAAGGCCAGCGGCGCCGAGGACTTCGACTCCGACGACGAAGGGGGGTTGACGAGGGGCCTTGGACGGCCAAAATTTACACTAGCCACGGGCCGCAAGAAAGGACGGGAAAAGAACGCCGGAGGGATAGGGGTTGGTATTTTGAACGACACCGGTTCCGACGACGAAGATCCCTACGAAGTTGGTCCGCGAATATCGTATAATCGGGTCATCGGCGGCGACAAAAAGAAAAAGAAGGCTACTACTGCGGTCAACCCTACGTTAAAGAGCAAACCCGCATTTATACCATCAAGGAAATCTGCTCTCGGAAAAGTCGGGCTCGGGGCGCGGAAATGCCATGATGGACGGTTACCTTTGGAAGGATTTGTCTTTGGCAAGGAGCCCGATGTTCTAACGTCCGAAGCCAGAGCCGAAGTTAAATACCCTCCGCCAAACATACCTCCAGATTGGATCTCGGCGAAAAAGCCGGAATCCCAGGCCGGCGCGGCCGGCTACGTTTCCACAGCGGATGCTGCCAAGGCGTCAACCCTCGATCCCAAATCCCGCGCAGCCATCCTTGGTGAAAAACAACTCCCGGGGAAGTCTGTCTTCGACTTCATGTCAGCAGAAGCACGGGAGCGTCTAGCTACTGTGACCGGGAAGAAGGACCTCCCTCCGGCTCGCGGGGAGGTCCCGGCTGAGCATGCTCTGAGCGAAGCCGACCGCTTGCAGGAACTCCTCAACCGCGCTCCAAAACTAGACAAGGCCACCGCTGTTGCCGCTATTGCTAGAGGGACTGGAGGCAACGCCCCATATCGAGACGATGAGGCGAAACGCTCGAGATACATTTCCTTCCTCGAGTATCAGGCAGGGTTCCGGCCGACTCCCGGGACGCAGCCAACTAAGACGAACAGCGAGGAGTGGCTGAGGGAACTTCACGAGTTCTATAATTGTGCCAGAATCTTCAAGCCTATGACGGGCTTCATGGCCAGCCGGTTCACGACGTCGACGAGCAATCCCATCAGCAATTCAGGCGGTGAGACAGAAGAGAAAGGCCTACTATCGACGCCGCCGCCCAAGCCCCAGGATCCGGCCGAGGAAGCGGCCAAGCTCGGTATGTTTGGGCCTATGACCAGATCTGTCGCCAACTTTTACCCCACGCGGCTTCTGTGCAAGCGCTTCAACGTGAGACCTCCGGAACATGTGCAGCCCGATGACCAACCGTCGGCTGCAGGGGCGGGTAGGGCGAACTATGATTCCGCCTCCCAGTTCAGTGCCCCGCAAGACTTTGGTTCCCTTCGACAAGAGCCGTTGGGGAGTGAGTTTGGCTCCGGCCCGCCACCCTCGGCTGATATTACAAACGATGCTGGCTTTGCTCTTGCACCTACACTAGGGGAAGCAGCCGCGCAAGCTCCGGTCCTTGAGAGGACTGTCGTAGATGCGAGCAGGAACGAGGCTCTAGAAGGGCAGAGGGCTGGAGAGGATGTGTTCAAAGCCATCTTCGGAGATAGCGACGACGAGGATTAATGCCCTAGACAGCGACAACCCTTAGTTATGGCTATGTCGTATTGTGTGATTGTTGCCGAAATACATGGGTACGGAATGGTAATCTTAAAACCGCGATACTGAGGTTTATATCGGTAGTCCTGAATACCTCGGGACCTCTTAGACTTCTCAAGTTCTCGAGATTCCCAACAATTCCTTGCCAAAACATCCCGAATCACCCCAAGTCCCGCTGTAACGAATACATCGTATTGACGGCGGCGCCCCAGTCGAAGCCCATTCTCTCATTGGTCATTACAGGGCGGTTGCAACTGCAGCCCATGTGGGGCCTCCCCCACATGAAATTGGTTGTTGGAGATGCTTCAGGGGCCTGCTCGCCTGGCTCAGGTAGGAACTGGACCTCATGCACCTCGGGCAGCTTCTGCAGTCCCGTCTCCTGCGTGCACACGTGAATGTTGATTCACTATTTCTTTCGCTCTTTTGATTTGAATGTCTGCATTGTAGTCTCGAAATTTCTAAACCTGACTTCCTGATGCATTAAATTCGCCCCAAAGCGTTACCTAAGCGTTGGAGCTCTCATCTCGGTTTCCCAATCCCAAAGCATTGATCCGACGTGAACCTAATCTGGGGCAGTGGAGGCCACCCTGAACCACCTGCACGACCTAGCCGCCTCTCAATCACACGAACTTCAGCAGCGACCAGTCATTCTGTCGCAACGTTGAGCCAAGCAAATCACAGGCACGCCGGACATTAAACGACAGCGTACAGAGCGACGTTTCTCCGTCATTGTGACTTCTCCGATTCTAGCATCTCCGTCGCACAGTTACCGTCGCCGTCACGTTGTCTGACCGCCGAGATTCCAGCAGCTCGTCTTTCGGGCCCATCCCCAGTAAGCGGCGAAGTGTCGACGAGGAGGCAGGCATCCCAGAGCCCCCCGACACCGTGGCCGAGCCGAACCTAGTGTGCTTTAACGAGGTCGACGCCGAGCTCCTCCCTCCCGCCAACGACGAGAACTCCCCATCCCGTCAGCGCTCTCCACCACCGCAGTATCCCGCCTCCGAGGCCGCGGGCCCTTCAGCCTTCCGGCCACCACCCTCGTTTTCGTCGCTCTTTCCCGCTCAGGAAGCTTCGGACTCCGTCTTCGAGCCTTGCGAACCGTACAAAGCCGTCGTTGAAGACACCAGCGAAGCAGCCGCTTCCGCCTCAGCCTCCGCAGCCCCAGCGTATGCGCCCGCCGACAGCCAGGTAGCACCCGAGTCTTCGAACAGCGCATCTGCGGCCCTCCGGCTCCAGGACGAAACCAAACGCGCGCTCCCCCGGGATAGTAAGGGTAGCACCAAGGACGAGGAATCAGAACCGCCGCCGGCATATTCAGAGGGCTCCAGTCCCCTCGACTCCTTCACATACCTAATGGCTGCCGCAGGAGGTGCCGCGAGTATTATTACTCAGGTGCAGCAGGGCGGACCATCGCTCAACCCGCTTGGAGGTAGGCCGTGTGATATGCGGGGACCGGATTGACTGGCCAGGCTAATATTGCTCTCAGATGTGCCCGGCGATGAAACGATTTTGATGGACCTGCGGTAAGATTTGGTGCAACCGGCGCAATTGCAGCGTACTGACTGTTCGACAGGGGCACCCGCTTTAAGCTGTCGAGAGACGAGCTGCTAACACTCCCCGAGTTCGTCCTGCTCTCTCTCTTCCCCAATGGGCTCTTCCCTGAAGGGCAAATGGGCGGTTTCACGGAAGGAGACGCTGTCCAAGTCGACGTGAGTAATGATATCGCCGTAATCGGCCGTGTTTGGTGTCCGTGTTCCACGCCATTCAGCTGACAGTCACACATAGTACGATCCTGCTTCGCTCCAGTACATGCTCGACTTCTTCCGGAACGTAGCGCAGAGCATTCCGGCCGAGGCCGGACTCGAAGCCGGCGACGGCGTGGTGCCGCTCGACCCATCAGCACGGGACGAGAACAGCCGGCGCGCCGGTATCATCGTGCTCCGCGAGGATCTCGACTTCTACGTCATCCCGCCCCAGCAGGACATCGACCAACCCGAGATGATCGAAGTCAAGCGGGCGGCCGCCAGAGCGCTGCTCAGACAGGACGGCATCTTCAGCGGGCTTAAGAAGAGCGACGAGCCAGGAACGACTGAGGCGCATCTCATTGAGATGCTGACAGCGGGGTGAGTTCTTATTCACCGTGTTTTTACCAAGCCTACGCTTTCCATGGCGGTAGCCCCACGTAACATACTAACTCACTGCGCCAGCGGTTTCAACCACGATGACCACTGGGGTCACCGGGCTGGCGAACCTAACAAAGCTGTCATCTGCTCCCTGGCGCTGGCGCGCCTACGCTCCGACATCCGCGGCAACGACATGGGAAGCAGCGCCGTCGGCATGGCGCAAAAGTTGCTGCTCTTCTGGCGTAAGCCCGCCCGCCGCTGCTGGTGGGAGGGCGTCGAGCTCGACGACGTCGAGGGCATGCCTGCCGGCACCAAGCTCAAGGTCTGGATCCGCCGGGTCTGGACACTCGAGATGAGCGTTATTGGCTTGCGCTAGTAGCGCTGCGTTGGGGGTTTGCTGTTTGTTGCTTGGGGCGAGTATCAAGTCGGATTGTTTTTCAGGGGTAGACACGCACCAAGAGGATATACACGCTTTGCCGGATGGATGTCGCGATCGATCTGCCGTTACTTTTCTTTTTCTTTTGTTCTTCTCTCCCTGTCTGCTCTCGACTTGTCGAAGCGCGTTCTGTTTGTTTTTCCTCCCTTCGCTACAAGGCATGGGTTTGCTTGGGCATCGAGACGAGATCTGTTAATATACCTTCCTGTTGGAGATTTGACCGAGCCACTAGCCGTCTCCCCGCAGACCAAGGGGCTAACGCGCTGTGCAACCACGCGGGTACCCGCTCTGAAGATGTAAGCCGCCCGGCCTCGGCCCGCCGCCCGCCGGAAGCCGTGGGCTTCCACAGCCGGTGTCGGCGTCCTGCCCCGCCGGGCCATCCGCACCCCGCCCGGCGAGCTACCCAAGTGGGATCATGGATGGAACCCCCGCTCGGTACTTGATCCGTACCTCGAGCCCGACCACCTTCGTGCCGTGCCTAACCGGAGAGGTCGTCCCACCGGCCCCACAACCTGTTCACTTACACCCGACCACCACCTCTTCCCTTACCCCCCAGAACTTCCGTCCACAAGTCCAATCTCCAACAACCCATCAAAAGCCATCTTCCCTTCCCAAAAAACAACACCTAATTCCCCCCTCACTTTTCATCCGCCCAAAGACACGCACACGTTATCATACCCCAATCTCCCCGAAAAAACACTGCCACGCTAATCACACGCAGGCGACAGCGCTCTCCCATTCGCGTCCCCCCCTCTGGCATTGGGAAGCCCGCGGTGACCATCAACCATCGCTGACGCGGCGCCGTAGACCTGACCGCGCAAGCGTCCATCTTGCGGCACCTCGGCACCCGCTCAGCCCTTGGGGAGCCTGGTCATCATGAGCACCAACGAGGAGCGTTTCCGGCTCACGAGCGAGAAGATGCGTCCGCTTCTGGCCTTGGCGCGGGAGGCGCTGGGGGACGGGTCCCCCCTCATGGCGGGCGAGGGGGCCCATTACCCGGCGCAGGTGAGGGAGTTTGTGAGGAATGCGGTGGAGGTGGGGGCGTTTAGGTGGGTGTTGGTGCTGATCCGGAGCGCGCCGCTTATCTTGTGGAACTTGGATGGCGAACCCCAGGGAAGCCTCACCTTCAGCTTGACATTCTGGTGCGATAGCGATTGCATCGAGCCGAGACAACCAGCAAGACACTCTCGGAGCATCATCCCAGTCCCTTGACGTACGTATATGACGCCTTTTGTCCTGGTCGAAAGCTCAATCATCGTGTCGGGGCTATGTGTGTCATACCTCAAGCCGAAGGAGTGGAATGGGTGATTCTAGTTTTCTGATAGCTTCCGGTTGTATTTTGCCAAAACAGATTTCAAACCGGGGATACTTACTTTAGCAGCCTC